CCCTGATGGGCCATTATAGTATTAGGGCCCTTTGGAATTGACCTCCCCTTCAGCATCCCACAGAGGCATGCTTAAGCTCGAGGAACATGCATCATCCACTCGAAGAGATCTGCAATTCGACTCGCTTGTTAGTCCTACGAATTCCAAGGTTGCTATTCCTCGGATTGTGCGCCCCCAGCCACGAAACGCAATCCGCCGTGCTAAGAGAGCATGCCTGGAATGCAGACATCGAAAGACGAGATGTGACGGCTACCAGCCATGCCATCAATGTGACTTTTTCAATGTCGCTTGCGAGTATGCTGAGGGGAAGCAAGAGAGAGCCAAGAGGTACATAGTTCCACTCAGCGCTAGGTTCCTTGAGTAACAATACCGCAGACGAGTTGTAGAACTTGAAGAACAAATTGGTGTGTACGATCAGTAGCTGCGGCGACTACGATTCAAGGTAGATGCCCAGGACCGAGAGATGATCGATAGAGTTCTCAATCGGGTATGTATATCCCTGCAATCATCGCATGCAATAACCCCAGGATGATATTATCCATAGTATAACCTAACCTCGTTTCTGGACACGCGGACTAAGTTGGAGCGGGAAAACCGATAGTTTGGGAGCAGGAAGGCCAGTACCGAAACAATCGGCAAGTAAACCAGATTTGGTTGATCGCCATCAATATGGAACACCAAAGCGGTGAAAAAATACAGGTGTTGGCCAGTTTGGCAGAGGCGGCATAGGCTCACGTATACTGTGGCCCCGTATAGCACGATGGTGCTTCCCGCTGAATAAATATCAATACCTCCGCCATATCGATTAGTCTCACCCTTCAAAGCAAACCGATAGTAAGAACGAATGAACGGCTCGCGAGTCCGTCTCCTCGGCATATGTTCCAAGCCGGCAGTGACTGGCTTCGGATTTGAGGAGTTCTTGGAGGTAGAGCACACGCTCTCCAGATCGCAACACAACTAGAATGTATGCTGCCTCTTCATCCTCGGCCTTTCATTTCCGTTTCCCACTGTCCTTGTTTCCGAGACGCCAATCGCACAACATTCTTCGCTCCATCCTCCACTGTCCCTTGGCCCTGTAGGCATTGAGGTCCGTTGCCATATAGCCTAGACAGACAGCTATAAACGACCCATGTGTAGCCGTACCGTGTCTCAAAATGTCTCTGGATTTCAGCGTCCAATGAGCCATTGTAACATACTGTCACTAATCTTCCATCGAACCCCGGTACGGTACCTTATGGGAACCAGCTCCCCAGGCCAGTTCGAAGTGTTCGGGAAGAAGAACGTGACTATCGAGATATAATTCGAATGTATTGCGGTACTAGCGACCAAGAGCATGCCTTTCACATAGATGCCATCTGGAGCACTTGGAGGCATTCCCGAATTCTTGGAAGGGAAACATCTGAGGCTAGGGTCAAAACGTCTGTGCCGTTCTTGACAAAGACAACGATGGGCAATTCTGTGCTGGAAAGGGCTCCGGAGAGCAAGGCGTGCTTTCTGACGTCGACTCGGTAGAACTTGACGCTTGTGAACTCATCACTCAGTTATGAAAAAAAGAGGAAGAAAGATTGGCCGAGACTTCATTGAGCACTTTGGGGAACCACAAGAATGAGGCTACACTTAAAGCTGCTAATTAAAAGCGGGTTGGAAGAAGAGGCACAGTTCCACAGATCTTTCGCAAGGGTATAGACTGTATGACTGCCCTGAAATTTAACCAAGTGCTGCTTTGGGGTGCAGTCTGCAGGAACTAAGGTCATCGCGGAAACAATGCATACTCTAGGGGGAAATTAGTTAAGCCTACCAGCAGAACACTGTCACTTGGAGCGACTGGTTGGGAAAAGTCATTTGTTATATAATGTTACTATATGAGTTTTGTGAAAGTAACACCACATTATTGTGCTGATTATAATGAAGGGAAACTGAAAGATAGTAACCCTAGCAAAGCAGAAGAGTAATTAAATAATTCAGAACACTAGGGGGAAACAGCAACACTCTTGAATTACTGTAATATTTACCTGCCATGCAAAGCAATAGCGGGCATGACTGATGTGGTTGTAAAAAAAAGATACTTAGCAAGATTTAATGATTTTATCGAATAGGTGAGGGCTGAACTGAATCTGCAGATGGGCTGGGTATCTAAATCTGGTTAATTAGCTATTTGTTGGTCAACTTTCATTCCGCTTAACCAGTATGAATTGCCCAGCGGGGTGATTTCAGTTGATTGAATTCCTAATGAAAATACCAGGTCAGGGGTCTTTGAGCATTGTACACCTCCTAAGTCTGAAAGACACCTACTCCTGCTACACCATCTAGGCTGCTCAGATCTAGCTTATTGCTGCTCACCTCGGCTCAGTTCTGCTCAGTTAAAGGTGCAGATCACCCAGGGAGCGCACAGTATGCTTAGTGAGCGTAAGGTGAGTAGCGATGAGCTAGATCTGAGCATAAATATTGTTATACTTTGCTTATATTAGCCGCAGCAGAAACTATATGCCGCGATGTTTTGTGCTCATTCATGTCTCGGGGAGAGAAATGATCCTACAGTCTTGAAAAGACTCTTATCAGCTTGTAATATGTACGCTCGCCCAGTTGCTACACATTAATCCTAATTCTCTCCCTTTGTGGGACTAGGTACTGCGCGCTAGCCGCTCTTACACCTTTTTGTTATTCTGAATTTTCACTGTGGTAGATTAAGCTATCCATGTCCGGTCCATCCATGTCCGGTCCATTCATATTAATATTGTTGACATGATCTGTGCCATTCTCAGATTTCACTAGATGAGTTAGATCTTGTATCTAATAAAGACTACAACCTCGGCTCTCTGGATGTTAACCTGAATTAGCCTATTTCAATGCAGGCCTATAACAGCAGGCAATTGCAAGCCAAGCTTCCTCTGCTGCAACGTATCTGTGGATTTGTTCTGACCTGACGGCGGCCTCTATGAAATGTTTAAGCTGTTTAAGAAATAGGATATAATTAATTCTATCCAGTCATGTACTTGTCTTTTAAACGTGCACATTCCCCATAGGATGAGACACTGTACAGTGGGAGACTTAGTTCCCTACTTCCAATCCATCTTTGGACAAGGACATGTTATTTCCTACTACATCTTATCCAAATTAACTGGAGATCCATCCACCCATCTCTACTATGTGGTCACCTTGCATAATTATGCTGAGGCAAACCTCCGCATGCTTAAGAAGGTAATAGTTAGTGGTATTCCACTCTCTTAAACACAACAAGCTCAACCACTTTGGTCAACTAAGGGAGATCCACATGCATTTGTAAAATACCTTGTGAGTCAACCCATTGCTGCTCCACAATCCAGTTATGTAGGGGTAGATTAGATACCCAAGCAGAGAAAGTAGATCTTTGGTCGTTGCTGTGAAGACTTAATGCGAGTGGGTTGCAATGCCTCCTCTATGTGCTGTTGTTATTTGGTAGTGGGACAGGAACTACATCATTTGGCAAAAAGTAATGTGCAGACTAGTGAACTGTTTGCATTGATCCTGTGGATTGTAGAATGCAACAAAACAAGGATACATAACCAGTAACTAGATCATCCTTTATTTTGCAACACTCATACCCCCCTATCCTACTCCAGTCTGGTGTTATATCCGTGGCCTACGACAGTCCACCAGCGAGGCATAAAGGTGAGTGATTAGCGATGGGTGGCTGCCGTTAGAAATATGCTAGACTGTAGTAACCTCTTCTATCCATCTGTGATATCCACTGACTTCATGAAGGACGGATGATCAGGTTTTATGTCTATCATAGAGCGCATACACTCATCAACCATTGACACGTGCGCATATGAGCGCTGACTATAGACAATTCTTCTCCCCCCATCTGGTCCACAACCTGGGCACACGGATTATAGGCAAAAAGGCCACCCACGCAGGTGGTCTATTCTCTAGTATCTTGCCTGAGTCAAGCTTAAGAATAGCGCGGATGCGGGTTTATTCGATCCCAGACTCAGAGAGTGTAGTAACCAGACCTCTGTCAAGGACATTAACCTGTTGCTCTATTACCCTATGAAAGTCTCTTGAAATGGCCTATTAGCATAGTAAGTATAAAAGGCTAGAGAGCCAATATACAGTTGTTATTTGTATTCAATAAGGGACCTGACGCTTTGAGACACTAATTACTAACTATATGCATATTTAAGGATGGCGCATCCCATAAATTATGGTTACTCTCTAAGCTATTAAATGGAGCGGTAGCTAGCACAGCTAGAAGAGCTCAGGCAATTAACCTGCTTTTTAGATATATTAGGTTATGGCCATGGGGAAGAAGTAGTTAATTATTCTCTTAGTCACTAGGTGATATTATAGGAGTGGTGAATCACAAGCTTCTTTCAGCATGGTTCTATATTAGGTTATCCAATCCTCTTCTTAAGGGTTGTACTCTAGTACACTTAGATTGAACCTTAAGACCTGCCTGGATATTAGTCTGAGAATAATCTTATTACCTCTGACTAAGATTGTTTCTTATCCCTTCTCAGCTTTAACAGAAGATTAGCCTCCTTTGTAGTCTATGGTTCACCCTTTCTAGAGGTCCCATGGGCCTCACTGGTATCTTGCTATTTTTACTCACCCTCAGCAGAGAGGGCTGAGCAATAGGCTAACTGAGTATCTTCTTTTCTACATGTTAGCACGGAGTCAAGCATGCACCCTGATAGAACACCTTTAAACAGCTAAGAAAGAAACTATAAACGCCCATCGAGCGGCAGAGACAGGAAATGAGAATGGAGGATGGTGAATGAATCCTCTCTTATCTATTATTTATTAGGAACTTATAGCTGTTTTAGGGCTTGCCTATTTGATTGCTGCCTCTTGTATTTAGATGTTGTTGATGGTTTGCTGACATTGTTAGAGTGAGATGGGTTGGGTTTAGTATTATGATTAAATAGGCGCAATTCTTACTAACCATGGGTGTGGGAATGGTTATTTATTTAGGTGCTATTATTTCTGCTGTCTATACTATTATTATAATCTTGATAACTCTAAGCTACATTGTGAAGAACAGGTAGAGGTTCTAGATATAGATAGATTATCTCTGAAATAATAGTACTGTCGCATCCTAGAACTAGCTGACACTGACTACTAGCCTCCCATGGGCCATCATCAGCAAGGATTGCGGGATTAATAGGAGTAGTGCTCTGTATATCTAGGAGCCAGAAGATCTCTTTCAAGCTATTATCCAAGGTAGATATGCTTAGTAATAGTAGGATAGCTTCTGTAATACCTCTAGGAAAGCAGGGTAGCTCAGTTAGGGTCCTAGTGTTTTCTTAGGAATTGCAGTGCGAAGCTATATCTGGGGTTAAGGCGTGAGGTGTTTAAGGCTATATTATATAGAGGTTTATACTATGCTTAGCCTTCTTTAGGCTTATCATGCTTAGTGGTTTAGCAGGTATCTCCCCGGGTGCACATGGGCGAGTGTTCATACTTAAATTCATGCAGACCTTGGCTGGTGGCCGCACAGGGAGGTGATGCTTAGGAAAGGGGAGAGTGCTTGGGAAGGACTCATAGCAAGGTCTAGAATAAGGGGAATCACTAGTTCTTTCAGAGCATGGATAGGGTAATCTATAAGGGGAGAATGGCTTCCTATGGGGAGGAGCCCATGGCTTAAAGTTATTCACTTAAAATATAGGGGTCATATTGTATTATGAGGACTTGGAAGTGTTTAGGGGCATATAGTGGTAGGAAGGCAACTGGGACAAGGGGAAAAAAAAGGGCATAGGAATTAAGTAATTACTATAACTTTCATGGCTCTGTTAGTCTCCTTATACATCCTCTCCCAGGCTGTCCAGTCCACATTTCCGTCCTTCCCTTGGAAGTACCTACTCAGCAAATTGTGCAACCTACAAATCCTATCTAGCGCCGCTAATGTGTCCACCTCTGTGTAGCAATAACACCTGGGGCCCGAGACCTGCCACTTTGAGCTAATCACATTCGGTTATTGCAGCTCCATGCCTCACAAGTCAAAAACACAGAAATAGACAGGATGCGGCAATTTTGCTATTGGTTCACAGTCAAGGCAAGAATACAGAATGGCCGTGGAGTGGAAGACAAAAACCAGTCCACAGACATAGCAGACAGGCTGGAAGCCAGGCCAGGTACCTAGCTAATTAGGAAGCTTCCTGTCCATATGTAATCCGGAAGCAAAAGTGATGAAGTAACCAGAGAAGCTTATATAACTCATCACAGCAGGAGCGTGGAGGATCATCATAATTTTAGTGAGAGGGTCTTACTGTATGGGATGTTAGAAGCAGCAAGCAAAATGCGAAAACCACTAGACAGCTGGTGCGCGTCATGGGATAACTACAATAACTGCACTATGAGGGCTAGAGTAGGCTGGTAATAGATAGCTCAAAATTCAATGAAGCAACAGTACTGGGTCTTGATCTTTCTGATAACCTATCAGCAACTCCATAGCTGCAGGGGGCAAGAAGAGTGGAGTGGACAGCGCTATACTAGGAAAGGGCAATCATCGGATAACATAGCATCCAGGAAAGAGGCCAGAGCACCAGAAACTGATATGGTAAGGAGAAAGGGGGAAGAGAAAGTGCGTGGTCATTCAAGGGAGAGGTGTCGGGCTTATATAGATGGAATGGATGCGTTGAGGTGGCAGGAGAAATGAGTAAAAGCAGCGACAGGTGGTGCTATCCTTAAAAAGGTACACACTATCCTGCACCGGGAAGTACGATGCCCGTCAGCGGCAGGCGGTAGTCAGCAGCAGAGCGATGGTTCAATGGGAGCTGTTTCTGGCGCCCCGCTAACCATCACAACAGATACTATAGTTAAACTAGATTTAATTTATATTCTAGTTAATTACTGGATTATGATTCCTAAGCCATGGAATCCCTAACACTATATTATATCATCCTATTAGTATAATATTAAAATTAATCCTTTTAAGGTGTCCTAATATAACTATTAGAACTAGTTCTAATTTAGTTTAGAACTAGTTCTAATTTAGTTATAATTATAAGAGTTCCTAAGTTCTCTCTATTCAGACCTATAATTAGTTTAGGTACTACCTTTATTTTTCTAAGAATCCCTAGCTTTCCTATAAATACTAGATTTATAAAATTGCCTGTTGCTCCTAAGTTAATTATTATTTTAGCTAATTAATTAAGAATATTTATAACTATCTTTAAGTACTTCCTATAATATATTACTATAAGGTATTCCATTTCCTATTTTAGTGCTCTTATTATTAGAGGTAGCATAGGAAAATATCCTCCTATTAGTTTGCCTTAGTAGTGCATTATATATTAGTCCTTAAAGCATACCTCTAATATATTACATTATATTCTAGGTTATTATTTATATCCTTTATAAGAGCATTTAAGCTTCCAGCATAGACAGGTATCATTCTCCTCTATGATTGCTAGTACTAATAGCTAATATATTTTACTATATATTATTATTATGATAGATATTATAATTATTACTATAATAGGTGATCTATAATACCTATTCATATTATAGGTGTCCTTAGAAATATTTATATAGAGATAGTAGAGTTGCATAACCGAACCGCAAAAATCGAACCCGAACCTCACCGAACTCGCAGCGGTGCGGGGTCGGGGGCAAGCCTAGGGAATTGCTTTGGGTTCGGTTTTCTCTACCCTGGAACTGTTTCGGGTTCGGTTAAAACTGCCGGTTATGGTTTTTGCAGTTTACCGGATTAGGTTAACCAACCCGCACCCATTTTACCTAGAAATCACTGAATTCTAGGTATTTCTAATTAATATAAATATCACTGGATAGCCCTTGATTCAGGCTATCTAGTGATATTATATCATTTAAAACACCTGGTGGTTTGCTGAGATATAAGGAAATTTCATCTCTGTAATAGGTTGGTATGAAAGTAGTGGTAGTCTATTGGGATAATCGTTCATCGCAGGGGGCGTAGAGCCTTCGAATCGTGCGAGGGTAGGGGGTAGGCCAAAGGCCGCCCCGTACATGTCCCACTGATATCAAGGGATTCTGGCCCTTTTATAATTCTACCTAAGCTATGAAGGAATGTAAGAATCTACATGGTTACATACATGCTAATAATATCTACTAATATCCTCTGCACACTCTTATAGACTTAATTAAAATCACACATGTTAATTAATATTACATCCTCCCCTGCTTGGATTGAACTCCATCCACAGAGTTCTTAGTTAGCAAGTAGAAGGTTAGTTAGCACCCATTATTGCAGCTAAATGGGTTTGACCATTACCAAGATATATTAATTACTAGATCTAGTATTTAGATAGTATCATTTCTTTGTTAAACATCCATGGACTAA